CCTTTCTCCTCTTCCAGATTCCAAAATGACTTTACAGAATGAAATGTAAAAGGATTATAAAATTACTCTGTAATTATCCACTGATTGTACAAAGAACATTTCCCAGGTCTTCAACCTAGTAAAACAAAGAGGAAAACTTAACTGCAGCACAAAACATTCCTCATAGCAGAGATAGTGGCTTTTTTTTTTTGTTTGTTTGTTTTTTTTAATCTGCAAATGGAAGAGAACTTTGCATTTTGTCCTGATTTGTGAGAAATGCACTTTTCTCTTTTTGGTGTATGATTATTTCAAATCAATGTTGATCCTTTACAGCTGGTCCGCCTCCTCTTTGGCATTCAAACTAGGCTGGAACTGCACAGAGTTATATGCAAGGTTTTGATAAAAGTAGATGGCAAAGATGAAAACTGAAGCTGAATCATTGCTGTCAAACAGTGTTTTAGAGATTAGAAGGACGTGGGGATATATAAACACCTGACATTCATACTTGCTGAAGACTGCAGATACTCACTGTTGATAAATGAGCTGATAGTGAATCTCTATGTGAAGGGTCTGCAATATTAGCTCAGCACTGAGCATATACATACTACCTTTTTCATGACATCACAACCCCCTTTAATATCTAGGGCTAACTGCTTCTTTTTCTGGTAGCCTCAGTAGGAAGTAGAATGTTGACAGCTTGCTGCATTAATGTCAACTCTGCTACTTCCATCCTGCACCACTGATTAGCAGAAGTTCTTCATCTCTACCCCTGCACTTTCTCACCTTTCAAAATCACCAGCCTGTCGTCTGTCCACACTTCATTAATGGCAAAAACTATAATGCCAGAGAATTAACTAGACGAGTACATATGAAGAAGCTGTTTGGCATAAAGGACATCTTTATATGCTTGACCTGTTGAGCCCTCATCATGGCCTGAACCCTGTTCATAACCAGGTCTTTTTGGTTCTGCAGTGCACATAAAAAAGTAACATAGAATGACAGAAGTCCTACTGCAAAGGACAGGCAGGTTGCATGAAAAAAAAATATAGGTATTCTCCTAAGTAATTTCAAGAACAAATTACTACCAATAGTCTACAAGACAGCTTTACTGAAGGAAATAATTTTCATGAGAAGTATTTGATGCAGCTCAAAGGAGGAAATTTAATGTATTTTTACCACCCAAAGACAAAAGGTTTACGGAGCTTTCAAAACTATAGCAGTTTTATCCCTAGATATAGAAATGTTTCATGAGAAATCTGAAGAAAAAACAAAACTTTTGAGTGACTATTGGTGTTTGGAGCCTGCAAGTTCCTCTTCTTTAATTGTTTTAATTGCCATTTGGAGCAAAACAACTAAACCAATAATTAAAATGTCAATTAGACCAACTATACATATTGTATACATAGCAAGTTTATTCCAAATATAACACTCTAAGCCAGTGATACCCTTCAACTATCACAAAATAAAACTGAAATGAGAAAGCAATAGCTATTCAACTTCCTAATTATTTCACTGCCACCTTGTAATTTCCTAACATCCAAGTTTTCTTTATCATAGATATTGGGACAGATGGCTGTAAAGAAAAGCTGCCATCCTTGAGCGTGCCATCATGGCATGGTATAATCTGTGTGTCTCACTCTAATGAAATCCTTTAATTTGATCTTGACTGCTGCAATGAAGACTTCACTCCAGGCTGAACCTGAGACTATAGCTATTTCCTGTTGGTGCAATTGACCTCACTGTCATTGTCTAGCCCCAGCTGGCAACTGAATAGTATGAAGCTGCTCTCTCACCCCCACCCTGTCTCAGTGGTACTGGGAGAAGAACTGGAAAAAGGAAAAACCCATAGGCTCAGATGCGAACAGTTCAACAACTGAAATAAAGTAAAATGAAATGATGATGGTGGTGATGAAGAAGAAAAGAGAGAGAGCAAAAATGGAAGAGGAATAAATCCAGGAAAGAAAAATGATGCACAATACAATTGCTTACCATCCACTGACAGATGCCGAGGTCATGCCCAGTAGTGATCAGCCCCTCTCAGCCAACCTCCCCTTTGACCCTCCCCAGTTTCTATACTGGACATGATGTTTGATGGTACTGAGTACCCCTTTGGCTAGTTTGAGTTAGCTGTCCTGGCTGTGCTCCCTTCTGGCTTCTTGTGCCTCTTCTCACTGGCAGAGCATAAGAGACTGAAAAGTCCTTGATTTAGAGCAAACACTGCTTAGCAACAGCTAAAACATTGATGGTTTTGATTATTCTCACACTAATCTATTGATTATGCACACACTAAATCCAAACCACAGCCTTGTGAAGAAAATTAACTATGTCAGCCAAAGCCAGGCCACTATGCATGTAGTTCAAGCATGTTTGTCTTTAGTGGCACAATTTTGTTAGCTCTGGTAATTAAACTCTGATATCAGTGAGAAATGGATTTCAATAATAGAACCACATAAGAACAACTTTCCTCCTAAATGTTACACAGATGAAAGACATACTTTTTTCTCTGCTTTAATTTTTTCCAGTGGCAATGTTAAATGTCATGTTTCTCACTACATGCCTTTCGCACCCTAAATATCTTGAACTTAGTTCAGTTTTGAATATCTTGTAAATTATGTAAACCTTGAGGCTTAAATGTAAGCTTGGTATCCTCTGAAGATACTGTCTACTTATGAACTCTTCCTTGCCAATCTCAAATGTTCCAAAAAAACTGCTCCAAACCTTGTCAAAATATTTTCTCTGCTATCAGTTTAGTTAGATTGCCCTTTTCAGGCTACCAGATGCTACTGTCCAGCCACACTGTGCCATCTAATAGGCAATGGACACATAGCAGTTGCCTGTCAGAAAGACAAATAGAACAGGTTGGATGCAATTAATTATAGAAGGGATATAATTCATAAAGGAAAAGGACATTCTGTCATTTCTCTTTTAATATACTAGCTAAAATACAACTTGAGTTGCTAATTGGTGTCCCTTAGTAGTAGATATGTAGGATAGAAATGTCATCCAATATTTTGCCTTCATTAAAAATTCCCTAAAATGTTTTCTGGGAGCCTTCTGAAACTGCGTTCTCCTAACTCTGCTAGATTGCATTTGGAGACTTAACCCCTAATCTACAGGAATGTGCAGATCACAGACATGACCAAGCTATAGGACACTATTTCATTTCTAAACCGTTAATGGAAGTATTGGATTTAACTTTGATTTGAATAAGCCTATCTAATTTTAGACATGCATACAGGTATGAAGATGAGATTGTGTTGTCACTTTGATGAAGCTTAATCTGCTGTATATTTTTTGTAATCATAAAGAAGCAGCAAACATTTTTCTCCACCATAACTGCTATAAGATGCTTATGAAAGAATTTCATTCCATAAAGAAGCCAATTATGTATATCTTACACATATTGTAGCTTTGGAAAGAATAGTGCTGTTGCTTGTTAATCTCTAAAAGTCATTAAATTGTACATTATTTTAATTAAACAAAGTAATCTAACAGATACTGCAGATGCGACTGTTATGCATTTGAAAACTTTATGGTTCTTTTTTCTACATACTCACACAAGAAATGATAAGAACCTGGTGAACAGCACAATCCAGATGATACAGATCAATAAAAAAGCTTTTTATGAGCAGCCACTGCAGCAAACAGGCACAATAGAGGCATAAGACTATAAATATCTTTTTCTCTGAGGGTACAGTTGAGTTTAAAAAAGTGAAACAGGCAAAAGCCATTTTTACTAAGAAATAGTGATAATAAGAAGTGCAAATAAAGGTTTTGGTTATAACCAAAGGACAGAAGCAACATCAGAGTGTTTCTAGAGTGTTTTACCAACCCAGCTGTGTTAATTTCTCCAGTCTTCCCTTAATATAGCCACACCTATTCAAAACTACATATATGGCTAATTCACTCCTAAAATGTGAAATTCTTTGAAATGAAATATGCCACATATTTGAGTAGCATAGTCCAAAAAAGGACTTTCACTTTTATTCTCCTAGACATGTCTCTGTGTTCCCCTCATTATCTGGTTCTTATCTCCTGCAGAGGGGTGTTGAGGAACACCTTTTGCAGAGCTCCTGCTCTCCCACTAATGATCCGGAGCTCTCAGTTTCCAAAAGCAACACAGCTCTGTCACTCCTGCTGGCAGAAGGAGGTAGCCACTGAGACAGATGGTGTCAGCTGTTGACAGCTTTTTAAAAGATCAAGGTCATACACTTTGACTTGTGAGCTTATTCAATCATTAGACAATGAATAACAAGAATTAAATAAAAATAGAGCACTGTGGTTTTTCTGACTTCTGCTGATGAGCTAGTGAGCCAACGTTACACTGAGTTACTCACTGCCTACACAGTGCACAATCATATACAATTATGGTCGTACACCACTGCCTCTCCACTAAAGGTAAAAAAGTTTCATAAAGTTTCATCTTAGAGGTACTTGGTATACCTGATAGAAAAAGCTAGAGAAAGCTGTTGAGAATGACAGCATTTAAGTATTTTTTGAGGTTGAATCTCACTCCTTAAACTGATCATTCAACTTGCTTCACACTTCCTCAGGGATATTACAAGAATGTAATTATTAGAAATGAAGGGAAAATTGACTCCTCTTTCATGGGTGACTGCATTATTATGAGATCTGATTTCATTTGTATCTCAAAGCTCCAAGGTGGTCTCTTATACCAGCTTTTCTCAACTTGCTTTTCAGTTCACAGTTTTGAGTAGTCTCGAGAAGGAAGTCAGCAAGAAACCAAATTGCCCAGTCAATGCATCCTTTTAAAACAACCCACTTTCAAACATCTTATTTGTAGAGTACTAAATATTTAACATTGGCTTTAGCTATTATGTACTTTGCATTGTTTTAGTACTACTTCATAGAGTGTATATATTGTGCAGAGCTATGAAGAAACAAAACAAAAACCTCATAAGCGACTACTATGGACAATATATTTCCTTTAGGAAAGAACTCATTGTGAATATGCGTAAAATAGGAATATGACACTCGGCTAAGGCAAGAGAAAAACATACCTGTGAAAAGCCGATCACTTCCCCATTTTCATCAAGGATGTTAAAATTGATAATTGGACCCTGGACATCAGGATTGCTGAAATCTGTATCACTGTAAATACGTACAACCGGAGCCCCATTGGCATATTTTAAGGTAGACAGCACATTATAGGTGTAGTGAGCTAATGCAAAGGTATGCTGTTTTATTTTCTCCATTCCTCCTACAAAAGAAAAGTGCATGCATATGTCAGATGCTGTATCTTCATGGAAATGTAAAAAAGGAGCATTTTTCAGAATGGTGTAGCTGAAAGGGAACTAGCAGAAAACTGGTAGTTTTGGGTTCCTTTAAATAAATACACAATTTGCAAATGTTTGTTTCATCATACATAAGCTTCAGTAGTACTGTTAGGATTTATCTACAATTAATCTACTGTAGAAACTAAAGTCACACTGAGATATATTCAGATGCATTACAACATTAATAGTTCCAGTCTATAAATATCACTAAGATGTTCTGGCACAATTAATTTGAAAAGCAAGTTTTGCTCAATATCTGGCTTTGGAAATCATGGGAATGAGGCAAAAATCCTAACACAGCACAGAAAGCAAATTGTTATGTTTAAGATAAAATAAAAATAACAAAATTCTAAATGTAATGACAAAATACAAATGTCAGTCTGCAAGGCTTAATTTACTTGAATACTGAAGAAATATTCTTCCAGGTCTGCTCTTTTTGAGAAGAAAAAGAAAGAGGATGTGGTGAACACCTCATTGACTACACCCATGAAATCTCTTTGCTCCAGAGAAGGTTTGCAGAGAAATTTCCAAAGAACTTGGCCTTGAGAAAGCATGAAGGAATCTAAAGCATAAGCTTCAGGTACAAAACCAGACATTTCAGTCAAAGAAAAACATATGTAATCCAAGTTGAAGAGGTAGGTTTTGATATTCACTGGGATAACCTGCTGACAGGGGACAAGTAACTGGGTATGACAATAAATACAAAAAAAGGAATAACCCTAATGAAACGGTAATCTATGACTTGGAACAAGAGAAGTACAAGTAATTTTCAAAGCAGAAACTGAAAACGTATGAATTTGCATCTTTATAAAAACAGTTAGAAGATAACAATATGATCTCAAGGTACTGTAGGAAACACAGAAGGCTAACAACATATTTAAACCCAATCAAATCTCCACTGAAGACAGCTGGAATTTTGGCTAAAAATCCAAAGTAGTTTCTGTCATGCACACTATGCATTACACTATTGTGGGCCTACATCATGTGGGAAAGAAAAGAAAAATTTCCTCAAATGTCCCTTGAAGTATAATAGTATTTTTCTGCCTGGATTTAGACTCAGAGTATTTTCTGTAATGTTGAGTATCTTCTTTGAAGTGCATGAGCATTTCTGCAACTAAAAATATATTTGAAATTTTCTTTTTTTTTTTTAACTGCATAACTATGACTCTCACAGTTCTGTGCATAGGACTTTTATATCTGAATATCTGGAAACTTCTACAGTCTGATATAAGAGCTTTTGGAGAGAAATCTTGTAATCTGTTTGTTAACTTGTTAACTGGTAAAAAGACTGTATCATTTATGAACGTATATAAAGGAAAAAAATACCTTCCCCTGACATACAGAAAAATTACAGCAACTTCTGCTATTTCACTTTTCTTCAACCTTCTATATTATGTGATATCTCCTTTAGATAAGCTAGGAAAGCAGACAGTAAAAGCATAGAAACAGATTAGATATAAGGCAGAGGCATATTTTTGTGATGCTAAAGAATAATAAAGAGGAATAAGATATTTAATGAGATACTAACACACAAAGTACTTTCAAGGAATTTTGCCAGAAACTAATCAGTACAATTTCTAGATGTTAGCCACAGTACGCTTGGCAAGCGCCTCTAGAACATTTTGGTCTGAAACATAATTTTTATTTTCTGAGTCTCTAAGAATAAAAGATTGCCTAGTCATTGTTTGGTAGATGTTAACAGTCTTGAAATACTATTAAGAATAATAAAAATAAAGGTCTTTCTCAGCAGTTGCTAGAAAGTAGCTGTCTTAAGAGACTTCTTATCAGCTTCTAAGTTGTCTGTAATCTCATTCAGAGCATTTCCAAATTGGCAGGAATCTTTTAATGGAAGACTAAACTACTGTCCTTGTGTCTTGTTGAAGAAACCTCTTATTCAGAAATTTCAGTCTCTCATTCACAGCAATCATCCTGCTATCATTTCTATATTGTCTTCAGCCATTCTCTTTTAAAGTTGCTTAATCACATTTCCTTGTTCATTAGTGAGAAGCTGATGAGCTTCTTAATTATTTATTCTGACAAATAAAAATCCAATAGCCTGCAGTTGCTTTGCTGCCTTGTGATTGGAGAGAGGAAGTTGTATTGCCATAGTCCCATATTTTTAGCAGCAGAATAGGTTATGATTAGGTCTGATGTCACAGAAAACCTTATGAAGCAACTGCCAGCAATCTGAAATTTGTTCTGACAGAAAAAGGGGTATATTCAGAAAATAGTCCTGATTTATTTTTATTTTGTTAAATAAAATAATCTATACTGTGTCCTACATAAATCATCTCACTTTTCCCACTAGGGAAAAGAATGTGAGGATGAGAAAATAAAAACCAGAACGAATCTTTGGTCTCTAACATGATCTAAGGGTTTGCATTATTGCACCTAGTCTCATATATGGGGATGAGAAAAATAAAACCCATTGCTTGACTGAATCTGCCTCAATTAAATGCAAATGTAACTTCTGATATTATGGTTGACTTGGTATTTATTAGCTTATTGCATTTGTGCATTTTACCTTCTCTCTATATAGAACTCTGCTTTTATGACCTGCTCCTTGCCTCTGAATACTTTGAGACTTGTCCCAAGCTGCCTGTTTGGGATAAAAGAAGTAGCATACCTTAAACTTTTTTGGAGACTTGGAACAATCATCAATACTTCATCTCAAGAAGATGCTGGGAAGGACTCGAGTGCCCTGGCACCCTCTTACTTCATGGATTTTATTCCTTATCACTGCTTTGTTTCATTAAGGTGAATTGCAGCTAGTTGCTCCTAAAATGGTTTTAAAATGAAGAGCAATTTATGCATTTTTTAATTTGGATCAGAATGAATCTGAAGTAGTCTGAATTACACCAGATAAAGTCTATCTAACACCATTCACTGTATTTATGTTGTAGGAACAAGTTCAGCACAAAGGATGCTTAAAGTCCACAATTTGCACTCAGTAATGACTTCTATCTATGGTAGGAATGCAAGGACTTCCCTGTTAAAAGGGAAACACCTGCATTTCTGTGGCTTAATACTTTTATATTACTTTGTCCCATGTGTATGTTTGGACTTTACATTAAGCCAAACATTATCATGCAATTAATTCTTCTTCCCAATACCACTTAATTTTTCATACTATTGGTTGCACAATGAATGCCATATATTTTTGCAGTGGCAAAGTTATTGAGCAGAGGAGATTGATAAAGAAAGCTTATACTTTTGTGTACAAACTACCTTGCCAAAGTACTCCAGTAAACCTGTGGAGATCCTGATGTATGTTTGCACACTAAAACATCCTGGCAGGTTAGCACCATTTCAGACCTACCATCCCATCTCATACTGCAGTTTGTATTGCTATGAAATGGATATTGCTCCAGTATGGAAAATTCATAGTTCAAGTGCACTGGATAATCCACAGATAAATTTATAATGTCAGCTCTTCCATAGGAATTGAATGTATGCATGTGCCTAACCACAGAAACCATTCAGTCATCTGGAAGAGAAGGGTAAGGTATCTCATATTTAAAAGACAGTTCAAACTATGTGCATTTAAACTATCCACAATTGTCACCATGGTACTGTTAATCTACTGCTTGGCTTGCCTAGTGATAACGTTTGCATTACCTCTGAGTAATGTCTTTGGGTCAGTATACACCTAGTTTCGCATTACGTAAACGGAAAACATTTAATGGCATACAAACTCCTCTCTGAAACAACCATGAATTCAGTAGCTCAAATGTTCAAATGTTAGTTCTTCCTGAAAGAACTGTAGTCAGGTAGGCATGTGTCAACATCTATAAAAGATTTTGAATACAGAGTTTAACATAAAGAAGAGGCTGAAATTGAGCCTCTAAAATGAAAGCTTTAGTGCTTAAGGTTTTCAGGCTGTGCTCAGAAACTTCTGTGCTCTGCATTCAAATACATTTCTTATCTGTCTTAGTATGAGAAATTAAATACTGGAGATAAGGAAGATGAGAGGCATGAATCAAACATACCGTTATTGTTCTAACTTGCTGTGAACAAAAAACACAGAAAATGAGGTTTAAGTGAACAAATACTGTGTTACTCCAGTAAATCCAAAATCACATATATCTTTGGATAAGAAAAAGATCAATGGGATTCATTATTTTTCATCATTGCCTAGCAGAGAGCAAGGCAGAGAAATGATGAGCTGAAATCTCAGGAAGCCAATCAGCAGGGAGAGAAACCAGGATGGAGCCACCTTCTAATAAGTTGCAAACAAGACAGATCACCACGTGGGAGCTGTGAGTCAATGTGCTAATGAAGCCATGGAACCTGTAAATCCTGTCCAACATTTGGAGTCCTTCACTTCTTCCAAGAAGCATACATTAATTTCTTAATATGGTGTTCTTTTATGTGTAGAATTAAATGTCTCTGACTGAAGTCTGTCACCTACTTAATTTTATTCTCCCAAAGAACATCTCCTGAGGATGAATTTGGTAATGGTAGCTTCATATATCTCTGTTGCAAATTTGAGTGCTTTGGCTTAAAACCATGTTAAACAACGTATTCTAAACACTGCTATTTTTTAGCAATCCTGCTTCAAAAAACACCTCAAACACAAAAATGAAACATTCATAAGATGATCCAACTACCTGTCCCACAATGCAACCCTGAAATGTTATAAATACAATACTAGAAGAGCAAATAATGAGAAGAAAATATAATCAACTTAGTAAGAAAGCTTGATCACTCATCCTCTGTTATGTCTCCTACATTCATCAATAAAGATATTAAACATAGACATTCCTGAAGGTTTGGGGTTTTTTTCCCCTAAATTATGAAAACAGCTGTCCTAACTCTAGCTACTGCTTGTTTGCCACAGTAAGAAGCAGCAGATGCCTGGAGGAAAAAAATACATGAAAAAAGTATGTAACTTCTAAGCAGCCACAACTGATAGTTTAAAGAT